TCATTGTACATAATTCTAGGGTCCTTCTGGGAAGAAAAATTATTGTTATGTACTACTACTATTACTACTAATAATAGTATTTCTAATAGAGCTCTGCTGTTTTTTCTGCTTGTCTTTTGATGACTATAACATTTTGCACTCTGATTTTGTTTCCATTTTTTTAAAAGATTGCTCTGACATATATTTAAAGTATCTATCTATCTATCTATCTATCTATCTATCTATCTATCTATCTATCTATCTATCTATCTATCTATCTATCTATCTATCTATCTAAACCCACAAAATGCATGAAGAAGATAATAAGAATAAGAATAATCTCCCTATCCCTCTGAAGATTTTTCTGCAGGAAACACTCTTTTTCACTGTTTTTCACCCCAATGATGGCACAAACTGAAGCACCAAAATCTTTTATATCACACAGGAGGTTTGTTGGTTTTTTAAAGGTAAGTTCTGTGTTCCTTTGAGTCTACTGGGTTGATTTTTTTATTTTTTGTTTTTTAATATGATTGTTGGTTCTATGGTTATGGTGGTTTCACATATTATTTTTATGGCTTTGTGATTTCTTTCTTTAACTGCATTCTAGAAACCACTTGAAGATTTCACTAAAGTTATCCCTCATGCTATAAATACCTTATTTAGAGAAGAAATGGAGAAATGAATTAATTATAGGAAGGAAAAAACAAGAAACCGGGCCTTCTCGGCAGTGGCTCCTCGGCTGGCACCCTCGCTGGGTGTCTTTTAAAAGCCAGTTAAAAACTTGGTTATTCAAGCAGGCCTTCCCTCCAGTCAATTAAGTCTTTCTCCTTTTTTCTTTTCTTTGCTATTCCATCTTGGTAATCCTCTCTTTAAATTAATTGTTTTAAATTGAAATTGTAATTGTAATTTTATGATTTTATATATTTTTATACTGTTCTGTTTTATTTTGTAAGCCGCCCCGAGTAGACATGGTCTAGAGGGGTGGGGTAAAAATCAAATAAATAAATAAAATAAATTATAAGGAACTTGTTATCTGTAATGAGTTGTTTTCAAGTCCTGACCACTGTCCAGGCAGCTGGATGCTGAAGAGTAGCGGCTGAACCTTTAATCTTTTCCCTTTCCTGATCCTAAATATCTGCTCTTAAAGCCAAAGATCAATTTTACAGTCTTATATGGAACTGCAAATTTACACTTTGCATGCATAAATTATGTTTGTAGGATTTGATAAAGCAACATTTCCTACTGATTCATATCAAACTCAGCTCCAACCTTAAAATTATTTAAACCAGAGACCTGCAAAAGGCAGAGGCCATCCAGTTCTACATCCTTGTTACAAACAGTCTTCAATGCAGGAAGGGGTAGTCGTTTAATAACATGCAATCGCCCCCCTCCATTGAGTATACCACTTCTAAATGTAATTGACAGCCCAAGTAATTGAGGGTCCCCACCCGCTCACTCCAAGCAGCTGCACTCATATCCAGTTCTGAGCACCTCATTTCAACAAGGATACTAATAAATTACCACAGGCGCAGAGCAGGCTCATGAGAAGGCTGAGATCTCTGCGAAGCAAGTCCAGTGGCACATATTTGGTAAAAGAGATCCAAGAGCCAGTTTAAAACAGCTGAACAACAGTTGTGCACTCTTGTTTTCTGTCAGCAGCACCAAAACCAGTGAATGGAAATCGCAAAGAAGGAGATTGTGACTAAAGATTGATATAACATTCCCAAGGTGGCTCGAGGCAGAAGGGACTACCTTCTAAGATAATAGCCTCTTCTTTATCAGAGATATTTAAGGACACATTGCATAACCATTTGTCAAGGATGCTGGAGTTGCAACTTCCCTGCCCTTCCAGCTATAAACTTGCCAGGACTTCGCAGAATCTCCCTGTCCTGAAAACAAACACCTTTAAGAGCAAGAGTTAACCTAGGCTGCTTCCCAGCACAGAGACTGATTATTTCTTCTTGGCAAATTGAAGCTGTAGAGAGACCAAGAAAGGCTTGTGCCACATAATGTTCTCCGTTGTCTTAAGGCTCAGAAATGGCTGGTGATCTTCATGTGCCTAAAAATGCAATCAAGTAGTGCCACCAGGATCGTTACTAATGCTGCAAACTTAAGGTGTTTTACATCAAGTCAACCTATTGCTCAGGTTAGCCCAGATCTACTGGTGTTGACTTGCAGTGAATCTCCAAGATCTTAGGCAAAAGAATGTTGATCTCTTCGATTAGCATTAGTTGGGATATTATAAAAAGCAAGAGTTTTTAATAAAGATTTTCCCAAGAGTGCGTGTACTAGAATGAAGAACAGGTAAGTTGCCATTCTTGACACATGTCTCACTGAAAGGAACAAGACAGGTGTTTCAATTGTGAACATGTTTGGGAAAGATCCCAAGCGATGCCTTAAACGCTTTACTGGCAGAGCATCCCTGTTTTTCACTTCTCTCCGTAAGGAATCATACTGCAGTCGATGTCACTCCAAAAGATTTCTTGACTGTCAGAAGGGGAGTTGGGTGTGAATACAGGAGAGGCTGCAATGTCCGGTGAATGCAAGTAAGTCTACACGGTGACCTTTTGAATCCTCTCAAAGGGCCACGTGTTTTAATGGATGTTACTTACTTCCAAGTAGGTGTAAGAGGATTGCAGCCTGAAAGTGATGACTTCTCAGCGGGATTGGGATGTGCTGAACTGGAACTCTTGCTTTTTCTCGCAGTGCTAAAAATTTATCTGTTTGGATCTACTCTTGGCTCCCCAAGACTGGAGCAGTACTCAAAAGGTTTGGCAGGAAGCATGCATGAATTTAAAGCCAGAACAATTATTACACAGTTCATAGATTCATAGAATAAAAGAGTAAGAAGGGGGCTGTAAGGTCATCGAGTCCAACCCCCTGTTCAATGCAGCTCCTACCTGGGCTTTCCAAATTAAATGGCAGGACCATTGAGGTAAAAAGCCACCCGTCTCCACCATTACATGTAAGGCCATCATGTACAACTAAGTAGGCTGTACTTAAGTTTAACTTCCTCTCTCATTCTGTCCCTCCTTTTGCATTATTGGCTGACAGCATTTGATTCCTTTGCTGAAAGCACATTCATTTGCCCCTCTTCCTTAACTATGCCCCACTGTGTGGGTTGCATCCATCTGACAGGCATTTACAATGCTCCATAAGGATTGCCAGGTGTTTCCTTGCTGATGTTGAAGCTTTAACATTAGCCCCAGCATAAAACTGGGAAAGTTTTGGCGTCACTTCATCTCCCTGCTGGGAAAGGTTCTGTGAGCCAAAGTGATATAGGGGAGAGAGTGTCAGGCCAGGACGAGAGAGACCTGGCTTCAAATCCCTGCTCAGCCATTGAGACTCACTGGCAATGGGAAACTTTTTAAAAAAAATCTCATATACTGTACTTTCAGGACCCTATTAAGCTTGCTGTAAATCAGAGGCCACTTGAAATCATGTACTAATAAGAGGAAAAGTCCTGTTAATGTGTCTTGTTCTCTTAGGAGCACGACAAGGCAAGTACAGTGGACCCTCGACTTACAGACGGCTCGACTTACAGACTTTTCGAGTTACAGACTTCTCTGGCTGCAAAATTTAGATTCGACTTGCAGCCGGAGAATCGACCTACAGACCAGAAAAAAACCAAAATGGAATAAAAATAGAATAAAAACCACTGGTTATGGGATTAATCGGTTTTCAGTGCATTGTAGGTCAATGGAGATTCGACCTACAGACTTTTCGACTTGCAGCCACCATTCCAATACAGATTAATTCCTTAAATAGAGGGTCCACTGTAAAACAATGTTAATAACCCTACTGTACCTAATCTTCATGGGTGTTATTCTTAAGTATTTTTAATATCTATGTTCTGCAGCTCTTCCATCCATCTAGCCTTCTAACGAGAATTTCAAAACCATGCTTTCCCCCTCAAACCTCCCAACTTTCTTTCTACTTGTCGTCATGCCATGTAACCTGGATTATATTTGCAAATTGCCTTTTTTTTAAAAAAGTGAGTGCATTCTGATTTTTGTTTATTTTGGAAAGGGAAATATGATTCAGGCCCTTGGAATGAACCATTCCAGATGTCAAGCTACGAATTGTTAATTTGCAGCACTGTGGTTTCTAGAGGAAATCGAGGGGAATTGGGGGGGGAGGAATAAAAATAATTGGCAGACTAACCCTGCAGTTGTGGTTCTCCAGGGTTGCAAAACACTGAAACACAACCCAACAAAGGTAAATACTTTTTAAATTCCAGGAATTTCAAAGGCAAGTGTAACAATTGGCCAAGGCTCATCCGTTGAAATCAATAACATGCAAAAAAAAGCCTAATTTGTTTTTGTAATTATTCTGATCCAAAAATGTTTTCCATTTGACTGTCTTCCTGATAAGTATCATTTAACAAAAGGTTCTGGAAAGGATGATTCTACAGGGCAATGACCCAGCTTCCCTTTTCTCATGTTTTTATGTTTTTGGAAAAAATTGTAGTGGGTTATGTTAACGTTTCAAAGAAAATGTGCGATTTCCCCCCCCACTAACAACAACCTTTTCTTTGGGAAGTCTGTGTGTCCGTACAACAAAGCTCCTTGGCTGAGTGAAGCAACACCGAGAAAGGGGAGAACGTGGAATACAGGAAAGTTTCTCTGCTTCTGTCTGCGACCCTAAAATGCCGCTTTTTCTGCTCTTTGTGCCATGTGTAGCTGCTTTTTTTAATGCAGTTTAGAAAGCAGAAAAGAAACATTCTTCCACTGATAAGGCTTTTTTTTATGCAAAGCATGCCCACCTGTCTCCTAGTGTGACTAGCAGATGCTGAAAAGAAGAAAGAGAAGGTGGATTTACGTCCTTCCACACATTTCTTTATAAAGGCATCAGCCTGACTTTTGAAAACTAGAATGCTGAACAACATTAAGCTTGATCTGATTCCACTAGGCATGTGATATAATTAAGAGATTTTATTTTTCCGTTAAGGCACAACAAAATTGTTGTTGTTATTTTTAAAAAAGAAATAAAAATAATTAACCACCGGAAAAGAAGCTTGAGATTTTTTTATTTTTATTTTACCGATGTCTGGAAAGTGGAGCCTTTTTATAACAAAGGTTTCAAGAAGGAAATTTCCACACAGTCTTAGCTGCCATTCTTTACAGTTCTTGCTGTTTTCATATTTTGCATTTGTCTCATTTCTATGTACACAATCTTCATCAGGGGGGAAAAATAGCACTGCTAAATGTAAACACAGTAATTTGGGGGCCTTTGGGAGATCTTCTTAAAATAAACAAAAAGCTCTAAAAATACAGAACTTTAAGCCAATAAACCTGTTATTTTGGCTGTGTCCAACTTTTGAGGGCACATTTCCTAGCGAATCCTTTCCTAGCAGGACAAGACAGCGCAACCCATTTCCTGGCATGCTAAGCTGTGTGGCTTGAGGGTACAGGATGTTATGCCTAAAAAAAATCCCCACCAGCTGGTAGTGGATGTAGTGAAGACCTTGATTCAAGATGCCTGATTTCTCCCGCTCTTTTACTGGTATTCTCCCAACACATCCCTGGGAACACAAAGAGAGAAAATTAAGAAAGTTAAGTTTGGTGTGCTCAGAACGTTGGCAAAACAAACTCTTTTAAAAATAGAAACTGGCTCTCCATAGCAATGAGGTGTAGTCAACCTAGTGTGCCCCCACCCCACCTGTTTTGGACTGTAATTCCCCTTACCACATTACCACTTACCATGCTGGCAGAGACTGATAACAGTTGTGGTTCAAAACGTATGGAGGGTGCTAGGTTGGCCACCTCTGCGGGTAGTTAGAGCTGTTTACTGTCACCCTTTAGAATTCTCTTTTTTTTCTCTCCCTCACATAGAAACTGTCCCACCCCAGAGCCTGTAAACATAGAAATTACAACTCCCAGATCCCCTCCCTAATTTGAACAGTACTTTGAACATTGGCCTTGCTGGTTGAAGAATTCTGAAAGTTAAAGTCCACAAATATCTGAACCTCTCACACCTCTCACATGCATCTATATCTGAACTGGGCTGCATCTGCGGTGTGTTTGTGTTAAGCAATGCCATTTGTAGAGGCAGCAAACACTGCTGTTCCAAATGACATTCCTTAAAGACACAGGATGTTCCTGCCCAAAATTCCAAGGCTATTTGCTGCTGTTTCAGTCAGGATAAAATTAAAAGGAAGAATATTCCTTTAAATAGCACAGAATTAATTCATGGGATATACTGACACTTGAGATGGTGATGGCTTTTTAAGCTTTTTTTTTTTAAGATCAATTCAGGAAGGACATGTGTAGCTCTGACTGTTGAGTCTGGTGGCTATATGAAATCTCCATTGTACCACTGAATTCTAAATCCTGGACAGGAACCAAGGACTGCAGCTGTGGCTTTAATGCCTCACTTTCAGCCATTCAAAGGCATCTCATTAGCTGCTAGTTCCCATCCACACCTGCTGAAGGTGGACAATGTATTGAGACATAGGGTGAGTATGAATGGCGGGTTGCATGCTTGTGAATGAGGTGCACATTTGAGGATGGATGCATGCCAAGAAGGGATATGGGTATAGGTGGATGTCGTGTTGTCCCTGCATTCCTTCCCTCCAAAACTACCACGTAGCCTCTAGAACACTGGTTCTTAACCTTGGGTTACTCAGGAGTTTTGGACTGCAACTCCCAGAAGCCTTCACCACCAACTGTGCTGGCTGGGGTCAACTCCCAGAAGCCTTCACCACCAACTGTGCTGGCTGGGGTTTCTGGGAGTTGCAGTTCAAAAACATCCGAGTAACAAAGGTTAAGAACCACTGCTCTAGAAGGTTTCCCATTGAGGAATGCAATCCTCTGCTTGGAAAATGTTCCTAACTGAGCTCTACCTAATAGTAGGGCTGGCACTATCACCTTCCAGAGGTGTTGACATCATAGGCACAAAATGCCTGGAAGCACCCTTGAGCCCTTCTTTGAATTATTCCTTGGTAGAAAAAGGAGTTTCCCCCCACAAAAATAAGCAGAAAACCTGCTTTTCAACGAGTCTCTTTATTTGTATGCAGAGGAATGTCACCTTCCAGAGGTGTTGACATCATAGGCACAAAATGCCTGGAAGCACCCTTGAGTCCTTCTTTGAATTATTCCTTTGTAGAAAAAAGAGTTTCCCCCCACAAAATAAGCAGAAAACCTGCTTTTCAAAGAGTCTCTTTATTTGTATGCAGAGGAATATGCTGGTTTGCATGAAAAAGACCATAGAAGGTTCAAGGATAGGGGCTTATATCCAAATTGAGGGGGACACTTCTTTCCCTGTCCAGATCACAAGACACCTGTCAACGAGATGTTCAAGGAGCTATTGTTGGATGGAGATGATGAGCCACTGGAAGACCGTAGCATCAGTTCCCCCCTTCCAACAAATCACTGTAATCTCTTCCTAATACTACATGTACAAGGCAAATAGGAGTGGGAAGCATGTGTCTCTCCAGATATTGTTGGACTATAACTACCATCACTCCTCACCTTTGGCTATGTTGGAGAGAGATGCTAAAAGCAACAAGACACCAAGTTGCCCACCCGTATTACCCATGAATCACAGAAATAATCAAATTATGGCCTTTTATAGATCTAGTTGTAGAAGGGGGTGGCCATGTTAGTCTGTGCAAGTATTGTAGGTAAAAGAAAAATAGAAACAAAAAGTAGGAAAGACGAAAAGGTGGTGGCATCTTAAAGACCAACTGTTTTATATATATATATATATATATCAAGTCCACTTCATCAGATGCAAGATGAATGTCTAATGAGGTGGACTTGTCCATGAAAGCTCACATTTTTAAAAATTATATAAATTAGTCTTTAAGGTGCCACCACATTTTTGTCTTTTTAAAAAATATATATACAGTATTTCTATTTTGCTTTTACCATAAATAACCAACATTTCCCTCTCCACAACTAAGGAATCCAGGTACATCTGAAAAAAAAAGGTTAATCAAAATTCAAGCACCTCTGGGTCACTTTCTGGTTGATCAGCCACTTCAAAAACTCTTGGGTAGCCAAGTCATCCAGGAGTTTGTTGTAATCACTGGTGAAAGTGCCATCTGCGTGTCTTCGGCCGACTTCTTCAACTGTGCCAGCTCCTCCTTCTGAGAAACTTAAAGGGGAGATACTGATAAGGAACATCCTTGTAGTTCGGTTTATCCAGCAAATACAGCACAAAACTGGGTTTTATGTCTTCTTTATAAACACTCTCAAATAAAATAAGACTGCAAATTCCATCTGGGAGCTAACAAAAAAGGTTCTAAAAATCACTTAACTAATAAAAGGAGAAACCTGGACACTATTCACCCAAGGCTTAACTAATAAAAGGAGAAACCTGGACACTCTTCATCCAAAGTTAAGCACTTTTAAGGCCCTAGTGATTTTAACAGTAAATATAAAAGTTCATTTTAATAAATGAAATTTAAATTGCTTCACTTTGGCTGGATTGTGGTCTGCACAGTAGATGTGTTTGCTACACACAGCTGCAAAATCACCTTTTGTTACAAAGTCCTCACATGCACAGCCAAAGGCCACCACTGATGGCTACTCTAAGAGTAAACAGATGATCGCAGCATTTGAAATTTGCCTGTATGCAGAGCTAAGAATTTCTTAGAGATGGTGACCAACGAGGGTGTACTAAGGTGAATGACTAAACATCAAGAAATTACAAGACACATAAAATACAGAAAGCTAGAATACTTTAGTCATGTCATAAGAAATTAATAATAGACTGTGGCAACCGGTCAGTCAAGGTGCAATAAATGAGAAAACAAGTGCAGAAAGGAGAAAAACATATTGGCTGCAGAAACTTTGAGACTGGTTTGGATGGATCACTAGTAGAAGATGGTTTAGAGCTGCTACTTCCAAAGTCAAAACAGATGTGACGGGGCCTGGTTTCTGGTAGGAGATGAATGAGAAAAAGAAGAGCAGACAAACTGGAATATTGGTGAACTCCAATTAATCTAAAATTCTTACTCCATTTGTCTTAAAATCCCACTATGGATTCAGATATTCTTTCTGTAGCCGCAACTCATGGCTGCCCCTTTAAAGACTTTAAATAGTATTCTCGAAGGCTGTTGGAATAGGTTGGTTAAAAGCTTGTTTATTTGGAATAAGCCATTTGGATTATGTATATATAGCCAGTGTGAGACAAATACCTTCCGTGCTGATCGATTAGTACTGCTGGAACTTTGTTAATTAAGTATTTTTAAATGTTAATACATTTCAGCCTTTTTGCGATACATATTCCCAGAAGACAAGACCATATTTACATTATCAGAAACACAAATGGTGTATTTTTAAATCTGCCCTCAAATGAGTCCAAAATAACAGCCCAAGAAAACTATGTTGTATCTCACAATCACACAAAGGAGCCCCTTATGGGATGTAAAAGGATTAAACCTGTGGTGTGATACCAGAATTAAGAATAGTCTGAAGGCATTTCCTGAGGGGAGGGGGGAAAGGGTCTGGATTGGCTGCTTAGAATTTTAATAAAGGTGACAAACAGAAATGCTCCCTCCAAGCACCCAGTGCTACTGTTGGGAGTGAAATACAAAATCAGAAGGAACACACTGAGGCCTGTATCTTTGACCGTTCGATATTCCCACAACAGAGTCAGCTGTTCCATTCACCCCTTTTTGTTTTGCTTCCAGAATTAATTCCTAAGAAGTTTTTGGGAAATTGTAGGGGAGCTGGACACGTCTTCGTGTGAACAGAATGAGATGGCATTGATAGTTTGGCTCAGCATTTCAAGCAGCCTCATTGTATTATCTGCTCCCTCAACATGTATATAAGAATACAGTCCTATAGAGAAACATGTTGTTCCTGCTTGAAGGCTGAGAGGGTTCTTCCCCCTCAGATACATGAATGGAAAGTAAACTTGCTGAGACCTTCCCCATACAGAGGCCTTGCATTTCACTTGTAATAATACTGAAGCAACGGAGTAAATGTAAAAGATCTCTTATGCTCTCCTGCTGAGCTCTCAGAACCAGGTATATATATAAATAAGGCAACCCAAACCCATTATCTGGCTTTTCAAAAAACAAAACAATACATCTGAAAACCCCTTCTGGGTGTGGCTGGTGATGGACTTTGACCATAAATGTTGCAGCGCAGAGAATGCTAAACCCTACCCCACGAGCTTTAAATCACAACACCCCTCCACACACACACACACACGCCCTTGAAAAAGGGATGAGGGGAAAGGATTGTGTGTCTTAGCACCTAATTGCTCCTCTATTCTTCTTCTTCTTCTTTTTAAATCACTGCTACTTTTTAAACAAAAGAGATCCATCACACACAGTCCTGTGTGACACCTAAGCGAGCCACTCCTATACTATAGAACAGTAACAATAACAGAGTGTAGATTGAAGGGTGTATTAACATCCATCCGAGGAAGGCCGGTCTTTGATAGATCCAAAGACCAATCCATTTTGTTCAGTGTGACAGATAAAAGCAAAAATATGCCATATCTTTATTATCATGCCTGAAATTTGAACAGGTTATCTTCAGCCTGTTATCATCCTTCCCCACCCATGCCACAAGAATCACCTAAGTGCTGACCTACTGTAACTATCCTGCCCGTTCATAGCGTTCTAGTGGCCTTTTTCAGCAACACCTTTTATCGGTTGGCTTTCTTCCTAAATTCCAACACAGGCTGTTGACTCTCAGATCTGATTTTTATTATAACGATGGCAATAATCATTGATTTTTATAGAGTGCCAATGACATAAACAGTGCCTTTTTACAGCTGGCAATAGCGATTCAGAGCATGGCACTGAGGGAGAAGAGGAAGTCCTGCTCTGAAAGAGCACAGAAGAGACAGAAGTACAAAGACCAGTACAGATGAGAATAAAGGTGTGGCTGGACTTCCAATTCCCAGGCGAGGCAGGTGGATAGAATGGGACTTGACAGTGGCTGTGTGAGGGGGCTTCATGAGGAGAGGAGAGGAAGCCAGGAAGAACGCTGTTTCAAATGTACAGTTGCTGGATCAAAGTCAGCAGTGGGTAGAACAGTCCAAGGAGCAAAAAGAAGGGGAGGCTGTCATGAGAGTGGTGAGAACAGGATGTAGGTGGTTCCTGATGGAGTGCAGGTTACTGACGGAGGTGTTGGCAGCCTAAAGTTAGGGGATGCTTGGAGGCAGGGGAGGGGTAAATATTCAGCGTATTGCAGAATGAGAGTGGGAAGGCAGAAACAAAACTCTGAAAGAGGTGGAAGGGATGGTGACAGTGTGATGATGAGTTTAGCAGCAATTTCTCCTCCCGGGGAGGAGAGCAGGAGAGGAGTTTGTACAAACTTTGGAAACAAAAAGCTAAATGAGAAGCCGGAGGCCATACATGGCAAGAAGAGGCAAGCGAAGGAGAACTCTGGATTCAAAGAAGGAACCAATGTGATTTGAGACAACCCGCCTGGTGAGCAATTAATTATGGTCAATTAATTATGGGAAAGTAGGGTTGGGTGGGGACGAAATCAGGCAGAAGTGGACAACTTAGCTGACCTTCAGTTGGGCTTGACCTTGAGGGAGTTGACCTATTCAGTTGCGCAACAGCGTAATTAATTCACAAAAGGCTACATTTTTAATTGGCAGCGAGAACATTTTACACCCAATGATAACATCTTCAGGTACAAAAGTGAAGTAAGAAAAGTAAGTAAGAAATACAGTAAGGAAGGGAAAGGAGGAAAACACACTGCAGTTTCCAATAACAGGCTGTTATTGGTAAGACCTCGTTCCCTGAAGCCAAGAAAGGCTTAGTGACAGTAGAAGCAACAGATGGAGTCTTACTCTCTTCTTCCTCGTCCATTCATGAGCCAAGCGATGAAATCCTTGGCTGCTTGACCTTCCAAGTAAGAGCTGATGTCACTGGTGTAGGTGCCATCAGCATGTCTCTCATAGTCAGCATGACGCCTGGCAAGTCCATTGCTGAAAGAAAAACAGTTGTTTGAGAACTCTGTCTTGTGTATGGGGGGGAGTTAATGCCACCTTTTCTCCTCTCCTTCCTTCCTTCCTTCCTTCCTTCCTTCCATCCTTCCTTCCTTCCTTCCTTCCTTCCTTCCTTCCTTCCTTCCTTAGCACAATTCTGTCTGAAAGCCTTACCTTCCGTTCAGTCTCCTTCGCAGGTGCAGGGAGCCATGCCAAGGACAGAAACAAGCCGAGTGAAGCTGTCATTGGGGCGGGGGGATTTCAAAATCCAGAGCAAGAAGAAGTTACTTTTTAAAATCCATGGTCAGTGATGTGCAGTTTCACGTCTGGAGCTTGAAGAAGTTACTTTTTAAAATCCAGCTGCCCGGAATCCCCCGCCCAGCATGGCCAGTGATGTGCAGTTTCACGTCTAGTTTCAACACATCATCGCAATCTTAATATGACCAAAGGTAGCACTACCTATATTGGACCCAATGATGCTGAATGGCATCACCAAGCATCATGATGGCAAGGAGCAGGTTGAGCCAACACCATGCATCAAGAGGAAGGGTGGGGAGGGAAAAGGGGTAGTCAGTCCAAAATAGATTGTGTCAGCCTGAAAAACATGGGATGTCTTCAGGTTCACCTGAAAAGAGGAAGGATCTTATCCTGCACTTCAAGTATAGTCCAAGGAGAGTCCCTAAGAGGACATGACGTAACCTGCATATAAGCAAAAGATTGCTATTTTCTCTTCTCAAAGAACTGCAGATGATGACTCTGTTGAAGTGACAACAGAACCGGCTTCCAGTGCCTTTGGATAGGTCTATAGATGCTGCAGCAGTCTTCACCCACAAGTATACTGATAGGGGTTGTGCAGGGCCTTTGTGATAAAGGAAGCATCATTCGTATCTACCACAAACACAAGCCTTGTGCTAGTTTTCTTAGAATGGAGAGTTTTTCTAGTTATCTTTCAGAACATAAAAGGAGTGTGTATCTGTGTTGCCAAGTCCTGCCTGCACAGAGAACCCTTCTATGCAGCTTGAAAATCACATGGTTCTTCAGGCGCTCTCTGTTCTTGGGTGTGGAGGAAACACATTCATCATATAACTAAAGCCCATCTTACATGTTTCAAGGGTTTCCAAGGAAGAAAGCCCAGGCACAACCTCCAAAGTTTCTCATACCAATGTCATGATTGAGAGAGGTGAGGTTTGTTCTACGCTTCCAAACTCAATCAAGCCTAGCGTTGGGCAAGGATTCAGGTGTGCCCCAAGAAACCAATTGCACCCAGGCTAATGGATCCACCCGGTTCTGTTTACAAACCCTGCTGAGGCTAATGTATGGCATGTGCAAGCAGTTGCCCACATTAACGCATCTTCTGCAAGGCAGCACAGGGATGCGCCCACTGAAACTGTGGGGATCACTGGGTGGGAATTAGAGTGGCTGTCTTTTTTTTTCACCAATGCTCCAGGTTACAGGGATAACTCAGGCTGCTTCTAATGTTGACTGTCCCTTTCAAAATTCTCCTGTAGCTCACCACAGATTCTGATGATTAAAAACCATTCATGAACATCCAGTTCCTGATTCCTACCATGTCTGAATTGCAAGGAACTGTATTTCTACCTGTCTGGAAGTTCATGTTGTGTTACGGTAAGATGATTCCGTATCGGTATGCACTTTTAAAGCCATATATATCCATTAAAGGATGTGGTTTCACCCTCCTCACTGTGTTTCTTAGAATTCCGTTGTTTTTCACCCTGTGTCCTCATTCAATTACACCGCACTTAGTGGCGCAGGAATTTTGCTGTTATTGTTAGTTTCATGACATTTAACGTACACATAGCACGTTGTTATGAAAAAAACAGTTCCCCTTTTACACGCAACAAAGGCTTCTGGTGTAAACACATACAAAACTCTGCAAACCTGTGAGCTAAAGACTATTTCACACCCTGTGCATTTATGGCTACTCAAAAAATATTGTACATCAACAAGTCAAAATATATCCTGTGTACATGTCAAGCACACACATTATGCTGCTACGTGGGCCAGAGAGCCATGATCAGCTGTCGTTCCCTGTAGTGCATCCATGGTGTATCACATATTCACTCTGTCCCATTCCCCTTATTATATATATAAATATATATGTATATGTATATTTGCCTCCACACAATGTGTGAAGTAGCCCATATGTCTTGCTCTGTGGAGAGAACATTATCCAAAAGGTAGGTGTGGATGGTTCCAACGACGCCTGTGCCCACAGTGGCAAGAGCAGCGAGAGCACGGCTAGTTGTGATACCTACCACATATGCAACTTGCCGCGAGTTTACACTTGCCAAACATTGCGGCTTTCCTCTGCCTACACTTGAATGTGACTGATTATGCAAATCTAATTTAAGGCCAGCATCTTAAGCTCATGTGCGAGATGTGACTTTCATGGCCATGAATGGGCCTGTGCCTCTGAAAAAGACACCAGTTCACCACCGCAAGAAGGATGCATGGGTGGGAACTGAGGAGG